CACTGCCAGCCCTATCTGAATTGGAGCCATGTTCAATATCTGGGGATTCCTGTAGTTATGAAATACTCCCAAATCCAGAGGTCATGGATGGAACAGGTAAATTTTCAATTCCATAATGAGTCACATAATATAGAAAGAAACCTTTGAGTCGACCTTGACTCCTGGTGATTACATGGACAAGCAGTTTTATCAGCAACTGTTTCCAGACGTGGTTTGCCATTGTCTTTTTTCTTGGGCTGAGAGAGTGTGACTGGCCCAAAATCACTCATCTGGCTTTATGCCTAAGGCAGGACTAAAACTTCCTGGTTTCTAGCCCAGTACCATTAACCATTACACCAAACTGGCTCTCCAGAATAAATAATGTAGGGATTTCCTTAATACTTTAGCAGTAACATATCCAGCCTGATGAAATTCTAGATTATATCTTATCTGCATGAATGTTAACAGTCAGTCTCTAATTCAGTGGATAAATATGAAGAATTAAAATTCAATAGGTTTGCCAATGTCAGTGGCTGTGTTTGTACAGTAGGTGACACTATTCTTTACCGAATTAACTGGCCAAAACAACATTATTACTTCTGCTTTAATGGCTGCATATATTTATATCAACTAAATTTGAAATAATTGCTTACCATCGGAATGATAAGATGACCCACACACAGTTCAGGGAGCTGAGCTCCAAATCCTTCTGAATTGGATCAGGTTGGAGAAAACTAAAATAATACACCCATTTATTTTTCCAGTGTCTAATTTGTAGAATCTACTGTGGTTAGTTGTAGTGTTGATCATTCTATTAGAAAGCTGTAAAAGGAATGAAGCATATACAAAGAAAACAGCGTCATCAGTGTTTCTTAGTATGATGGCTGAACAGTATGGAGATACTTGCAAGAAGCACGACATAGAAGAGCAAGAAAGGATTATTGTTTTTAAATTTGGCTGGCAGACTTTCCATAGACAACAGAAATATATGGAATGTAAATCAGATCCAGTAGCCATGTTTGTATTCTAGTACTTTAATGTTGTCTTTTCATTGACATTTCATGATGGAAGAATTACTGCAAAAAAAGTTGGCATATTCATAAACAAGCTCAAAGTCTAACTTTTGTCATCAATGAGATATTATCATCTCTCTCTCTCT